TCTCACCCTTCTTTTTAAATAGCTGGCATGGGATTAATTCATCTGGATGACAAAAAAATTCATTAACAGGAGGAGATCTAAATATGATATTGGGACACCAATATGTGAATTTTTATTGTAACAAACTATTTCTAACTGTATGACCTTGGAAAAGACACATTTTCTGGGCTACAGTTTCTTCACCTGTGAAAAAACTTTGGACTATATGCACTTTAGAATTTTAGTGCTAACCTTCTGGTTTCTTTAAACAGCTACATTTTATGTTCTAGGATCAAGTTAACATACAATATAGGTCACACAGAATCCAAGATGACAAAGGGAGAGAAAAATATGAACCAGGTTTCTACCATCGAGAACAGCAGTACAATACACAGAATAAGGGAGTTCAAGAAGCAGAGTCAGATATACAGGACCAAAGTTTCAAGGCGAGCCACATGGCCCGCCTGACCTGTCCAGCAATGGTCTGATGCTGGAGCCCAGGGTTGCCCCTAGAAGAGCACTAGCTTCAGTACCACAGGCAAAAAGAGGTGAAATGATAGGGCTTCATAAATGATAAAGTTATTTACCGTACACATTTTAGTTCATAGCTTTAGATAATGTATCAAGTCCCTGGTTGCATATATCATAGATAACTTTTTTTTTAAATCTGTGAGAAAAGCTTTATTTTTCCTCATTGTAAGATTTGCTAGATTCTATCTTTGAGTCTCCCCAGAGTTAGGATTTCTTAAAGAAAGTAGACATTAGTGTCACTGAATCCATGAAATGACGTGGAAAATGTTTCCCATCATGAACTCCTTAGTTTGAGTGTCAATATAAACCATATAAACCACCTGCATTTGGGTTCGTTTGACAATTGTAATAACTCCATTTTATAAAGAAAATTATAAGAATATTCTGAAATTTGCATGCCACTGTCTTCCTGCAGGAAAATGCAGGTGATATGAAATATAGTATGGTATGATTTTTCTTTTCTTTTCTTTTTTAAATGCCCAGACCTTTATTTATTGGAATTACTCTCTCAACAGTACAGTATAAAACCACATAGCATTTGCATTGTGTTAGATATTATAAATAATCTAGAGATTATTTAAATTAAATGAGAACATGTGTGTAGTTTACATGCAAATATTAGACCATTTCATATAAGGAACTTGAACATCTTCTCATTTGGGGATGCATGTAAGGTCCTGAAACCAATGCCCTATGGATAAGAAGGGTGATTGTGTACAGTACTTACTTATACTTTCGTTGTATATAGCTCACCTGAATGTAAATTTCATAGATGCAGAAATTTTGGTCTCTTTTATTCATTGTATTTCAGCACAGTAATACCTGTACATATTAAGTGCTCTTAGATATTTACTGAACATGAATCAATATATAATTAGAATTGAATGAGTTTTCTAAATATTTTTGATGGTTTAACTTTTATTTTTAGGTTCAGGGGTGCGGGGCTTTGATGTACAGATTATTTCATCACTCAGGTACTAAACTTAGTACCCATTAGTTATTTTTTCTGATCATCTCCATCCTCCCACACACTACCCTCAAGTAGACCCCAGTGTCTGTTTCCCCCTTTTTTGTATCCATGTGTTATCATCATTTAGCTCCCACTTATAAGTAAGAATATGTGGTATTTGGTTTTCTGTTCCTACGTTAGTTTGCTTGGGATAATGGCCTCCAACTCCATCCATGTTCCTGCAAAAGGCATAATCTCATTCTTTTTCATGGCAGCATAGAAATCGATGGTGTATATGTACATTTTTTTAATCCAGTCTACCATGGATGGGCATTTAAGTTGCTTCCACGTCTTTGCTATAGTGAATAGTGCTGCAGTGAACATACACATGCATGTCTTTATGGTAAAATAATTTATATTCCTTTGGGTATAGACCCAGTAATGGGATTGCTGGGCCAAATGGTAGGTTTGTTTTCAGAATTTTGAGGAACTGCCATACTGCTTTCCACAATGGCTGAAGTAATTTACACTTCCACCAGTGGTGTATAAGCATTCTGGTTTTTTCCACAACCTTGCCAGCATCTATTATTTTTTCTCTTTTTGATAATTACCATTCTGACTAGCGTGAGATGGTATCTTGTTGTTGTTTTGATTTGCATTTCTCTAATGATCAGTGATGTTGTGCTTTTAAGTTCTGGGATACATGTGCAGAACATGTAGGTTTGTTCCATAAGTATACATGTGCATTGGTTGCTGCACCCATCAACCCATCATCTACATTAGGTATTTCTCCTAATGCTATCCTTCCTCTAGTCCCCCAAACCCTGACAGACCCTGGTGTGTGATGTTCCCCTCTCTGTGTCCATGTATTGTCATTGATCAAATCCCTCTTATGAGTGAGAACATGCAGTGTTTGGTTTTCTGTTCCTGTGTTGGTTTGCTGAGGATGATGGTTTCCCATACTGCCCAAAGTAATTTACAAATTCAATGCTATCCTCATCAAGCTACCATTGACTTTCTTCATGGAATTAGAAAAAACTACTTTAAATTTCATATGGAACCAAAAAAGAGCCCATATAGCCAAGGCAATCCTAAGCAGAAAGAACAAAGCTGGAGGCATCATGCTACCTGACTTCAAACTATACTACAAGGATGTTGTGCTTTTTTTCATATGATTGTTGGCCACATGTATGCCTTCTTTTGAAAAGTATCTGTTCATGTCCTTTGCCCACTTTAAATGCGGTTTGTTTTGGCTTGTAAATTTAAGTTCCTTTTGGATGCTAGATATTAGACCTTTGTCTGATGCATAGTTTGCAAAATTTTTCTCCCATTTTGTGTAGGTTGTCTGTTGACTCTGTTGATGGTTTCTTTTGCTGTGCAGAAGTTATTTAGTTTAATTAAATCCCATTTGTCCAGTTTTGCTTTTGTTGCAATTGTTTTTGGCGTCTTCATCATGAAATTTTTGCCAGTTCCTATGTCCAGAATGGTATTTCCTAAGTTATCATCCAGGCTGTTTATAGTTTTGGGTTTTACATTTAAGTCTTAAATCCATCTTGAGTTGATTTTTGTATATGGTGTAAGGAAGAGGTCCAGCTTCAGTCTTCTGCATATGGCTAGCCAGTTATCCCAGCACCGTATATTCTTTCCCCATTGCTTGTTTTTGTCAGCTTTGTGGAAGATCAGATAGTTGTAAGTGTGCAGCCCTATTTTGGGGCTCTCTATTCTGTTCCCTTGGTGTATGTGTCTGTGTTAGTGTCAGTACCATGCTGTTTTGGTTGTCGTAGCCCTGTAGTATAGTTTGAAGTAGAGTAGTATGAGGCTCCCTGCTTTGTTGTTTTTGCTTCACATTGCTTTGGCTATTCAGGCTCTTTTTTCGGTCCATATTAATTTTAAAATAGTTTTTCTAGTTCTGTGAAAAATGTCATTGGTAGGTTGATAGGAGTAGAATTGTATCTGTAAATTGCTTTGGGCAGTGTGGCATTTTAATGATATTGACTTTTTCAATCCATGAGCATGGAATGTTTTTCTATTTGTTTGTGTCATCTCTTATTTGTTTTGTAATTCTCATTGTAGAGACCTTTTACCTCTGTGGTTAGCTGAATCATTAAGTATTTTATTTTTTTTGTGGCAGTTGTGAATGGGATTGTGTTCCTGATTTGTCTCTCAGATTGGCTGTTGTTGGTGTATAGGAATGTTAATAATTTTTGCACATCAATTTTGTATCCTGTAACTTTGCTGAAGTTGTTTACCTGCTCAAGGAGATTTTGGGCCAAGACTATGGAAATTTTTTAGATACAGAATCATGTTGTCTGCAAACAGGGATAGTTTGACTTCCTCTCTTCCTGTATCTGTGATCTTTATTTCTTTCTCTTGCCTGATTGCTCTGGCAAGGACTTCCAATACTCTGTTGAATAGGAATGGCAAGAAAGGGCATCCTTGTCTTGTGCTAGTTTTCAAGGGGAATACTTCCAGCTTTTGCTTGTTCAGTATGATGTTGGCGGTGGGTTTGTCCCAGATGGCTCTTATTATTTTTAGGTATGTTCCTTCAATACCTAATTTTATTGAAAGTCTTTAACATGAAAGGATGTTGAGTTTTACATCTACTGAGGTAATTATACCATTTTTGTCTTTAGTTTGGTTTATGTGATTAATCACATTTATTGATTTGTGTGTGTCAAACCAGCCTTGCATCCCAGGGATAAAGCCTACTTGATTGTAGTGGGTTCACTTTTTGATGTGCTGCTGGATTGGGTTTGCCTGTATTTTGTTGAAGATTTTTGCCTCTATGTTCAGCGAGGATATTGGCCTGAAGTTTTCTCTTTTTTATTGTCTCTCTGCCAGGTTTTGGTATCAGGATAATGCTGCACTCACAGAATAATTTGGGGAGGATTCCCTTCTTATAATTTTTTGCAATAGTTTCAGTAGGAATAGTGCCAGCTCTTTGTACATCTGGTAGAAGAATTCAGCTGTGAATCCTTCCTGTCCTGGTTTTTTTGTTTCGTTTTGTTTTGTTTGCTTATTTGTTTGTTTGGTTTTTGTTTGTAAGCTGTTTATTACTGATTCAATTTTGAAGTTTGTTATTGGTCTGTTCACAGCTTTAATTTCTTCTTGGTTCAGTCTTGGGAGAGTGTATGTTTCCAGGAATGTATACATTTCTTCTAGATTTTCTGGTTCGTGTGCATGGAGGTGCTGAGAGTAGTATCTGATGGTTTTTTGTATTTCTATGGGATCAGTGGTAACATCCTCTTTGTCATCACTAATTGTGTTTATTTGGATCTTCTCTCCTTTATTAGTCTAGCCAGCAGTCTTTTGTATTAATATTAAAAAAAAAAAAAAAAAAAAAAAAACCAGCCCCTGGATTCCTTGATCTTTTGAATGGTTCTCTTTGTCTCAGTCTCCTTCAGTTCAGCTCCGATTTTGGTTATTTCTTGTCTTCTGCTAGTTTTGGGATTGGTTTGCTCTGGCTTCTCCAGTTCTTTTAGTTGTGATGTTAGGTTGTTAATTTGAGGTCTTTCTAACTCGTTGATGTGAACATTTATTGAAAAATATGAAGTGCTTCGTGAATTTGTGTGTTATCCTTGCACAGGGACCATGCTAATCTTCTCTATATCTTTCCAATTTTAGTATATATGTTGCTGAAGCAAGCATGGTATGGAATTTTCCAAGTGTACGATGAGTCATTATTAATTTTTATATTGAATACAATATGGTTATCATGTTCATGGTCATGTGTAGGGCTTTTGTTGAGAGATGTGATGAAATAATGCTCCAAATTCTAGGACTCCTTATGCAGTGATAGGAGAAAAACAATGACCAAATGCTTCTGAAACATAGGTAGTTAGTAGATTTCTCTGAATAAAATTATCATTTTTTTAATTTGAAACATGTCTTTAAGACATCCTGCATGTTAAGGTCAGCAGTGATTAATTTAGAAACTGAATGTTAATTGAAGGCACAGTTTCTTCTGAAACCTTTTAAACATTTGACTCATGCTGGTTAATTAGAAGGGCAAAAATCACTCCATTGTATAAATATAGGGAGAGTTTCTTTTCTCCAGTAATGTGAATATATATTTGTTGGGTTGTATGAAAAGAGAGGAAGTAATTAGCCAGGTGAAATGGGCAAGGTGACAATGACTCTGAGATTTCAAATTATTTCCAATCTTCGATTTTGCTGAGCTGTACCAATGTACCTGGTCCTAATTCAGTAGAGAGTTAAAAGCCAATGTTATAATGCTTTAACAAGGGTGAAATTACATACCATGTTTTTGTATTCATAGATAGGTAGCCAAAGCATCCTAGAATTTCCTCCTGCCATAATGTTTAACTAGTAAATTATATAATCTATAGAAGATTGCAATTGGCCAAGTCTTAGAAGTGTCAGTTACTCAGATGAAGCCTTTTCTTTGTATTTATTGTTGGTTTGACCAAACCTAAAATTGAAGAATTTTTCAGAGCTGCCCTTGCTTCTCTTTCAGATAGTCTTTACGAAATGGAAGACATTTGTAGTGTAGCTAAGGTTTGGAATAAAGTTTTCACACCTTCTCCAAATCTTTCTCATGACATAGATGCAACCTAAATAATCAAAGGGAAATAATACCAGGTTGAGAAATTTATAACATTAAATTATCGCAGTGTTTGTGTACAAAGAGATACACTCACATAAGAGTTGTTACACTTACATGGCAGAACCCTGGGGCCCTTCCTAGGAAAATCCACAGCAAATCATAGTGATTTAATACGCCTCCTCATGACTACCATCCTAAAGAGGTAAAATCTATTAAACTTAGTACCAAGGGCAATAGTGGCAGAGAGAAGACTGAAAGAGATCATGGCTGTAATGCTATGGTAATGGAGTTCAGAGTATGGTTATGAATTGATGAATTGTATCTTCTTGCATCAATGCTTTCTTTTTTTCCTCTTTTCTCTTTGGTACACTCCCATCCTGAGTCATTGGGACTCTTTGAATGCCTGGTTTCCAGAGGAGAAACTCATCTCATATTCTCTCAATTTGTCATAACTAGACATAATGACTAAGAACCAATTTCAGTTCTAGATTTTGTTTTTTGTTTGTTTTACTTCACAATTATGTAGACGGAGCCACTGAGTAGAAGTTATTGAGTCAACTCACTTCTATTTTGGATGTGTTTCTTTCTGATAAGTTAAGCATGAAATCTAAATCTCATGAATTTTGAGTGAGTTATTTTGAAGTCTATATACTGTTTAGAGTTTTGACCAAAATATTTTGTTACAATATGCTTTGTTTTATTTAAGAGGATTTGTTGACAGAATATATATATATATGTTTTCTACACACATACATAAGAAAAAAGCATTTATCAAATATTTTTGCATGTATTTTTAAATCTCACTTGATACTAGAATAAAATTCCATATATTTGATTCCCTCAATATATCATTAAAGCAGAACATGCTGTGAGGAAGAAATAAAACGAGTAAGGCACGTTTTCATTGTGGAATTCCACCTCTATGTGTAGAACTCTATAGGGTAGTCGTAGAAATTAAAATGAATTTTATGTTGGCAGTAATTAATTTGCTTATTCTAATAATAGGAATTAACAGAGATTTTTGTTCTTAGCTCAAGTGGAAATGATTTTATGGTTATATAAATATAACAAAGTGTTTTAAAAATTTTAAGAAAGGACTGCATTTAATCATTTAGATAAAACAGTAGGGGTTTTTGTTTGGTTTGGGGGGCAAAGATTTGTTTTGGGGTGTTTTTTGGTTGTTTTCTTAACATTGTAGGTTTGGGAGTACATGTGAAGGTTTGTTACATAGGAAAACTTATGTCATGGGGGTTCGTTATGCAAAGTATTTTATCACTCAGGAATTAAGCCCAGTACCCAATAGTTAGTTTTCTGCTCTTCACCCTCCTCCTACCCTCCACCTTGAAGTAAACCCCAGTGTCTGTTGTTTCCTTCTTCGTGTTCATGAGCTCTCAGCAGTTAGCTCCCACTTACAAGTGAAAATATGTGGTATTTGGTTTTCTGTTCCTATAGAAGTTTGCTGAGGATAATAGCTTCCAGCTCCATCCATGTACCTGCAAAATACATGATCTTGTTCTTTTCTGTGGCTACAATGTTTGCTTTTTAATGTGCAATGAAATTATTTTTTTGCCAGTTGAATTCTTTTATATAGGTTCATAGGCTAAACACATCACCATCATGGTGAGTTGTATACAAGCTATGAGTAAAGGAAGGTACTAAATCTCTGTACAAGGTCCCTATTTCTCCCATGAGTTACAGATGGAGGCATGAAGGTAGTCCTTGAGTAACAGAGAGGTTCAAATGCACACCTTATGCTCCTAGAACTATACCACATTCATGCCTTGTCATCTATATATCTAAATGATTTTCAATGAATCATCTAAGTGAGCAATAAGACAGAGGGCTGTAGGAAAGGAGTCTTTCAGTCAATGTGAATAGAAAGTATTTGCTTTGTCAAGCGTATTATTAATATATCATAAAAAGTTTTGGGCCAGGCGCAGTGAATAACGCCTGTAATTCTAGCATTTTGAGAGGCTGAGGAGGGTGGATCACCTGAGGTTAGGTGTTCAAGATCAAGCCTGGCCAACATGGTAAAACCCCATCTGTACTAAAAACAAGAACTAGCCAGGTGTGGTGGGAGGCACTTGTAATCCCAACTACTGTGGAGGCTGAGGCAGCAGAATCGCTTGAACCCAGGAGGTGAAGGTTGCAGTGAGCTAAGATCGCACCATTGCATTCCAGCCTGGGCGACAAGAGCGAAACTCCATCTCAAAAAAGAAAGTTTCTGAGAACGTCATATGTGAATTCCTAAGACCTGTCAGGGGAAATGTATGCTCATAAAAGAAAAAACACGTGCAATTATTGCTTAGTGTTTTTGGTGTTTCATGAGTAATAGAAAAATAACTGTACAAATATTAATGTGACCAAATGAAACATATTTAAGCAGATTAAGAAACCATAGCAAGTCATCTTTTTCATTAAATAACAGAAAAATTGTGTCCTGACAGTAATCTCAAAACAGTTTTCTACCTAAGTCTTGTTTAATTTCATGTCACGTGTGCTCAGGAGAATTCTTCAATACACTCTAAATTTTCTAAGTGGGTTTCCCTTGTAATTTTATGGAAAAAGGGAAAGACCTTGGGACTATTTTATTATTTCCAATAGAAAAATGCATATTTTAGCACTAATGCTTTTTCCCCAGGAAATCCTAAGGCCCTGCATGATAAAGTATTAGCAAAAACTGATGTAAGTTCATATAAAATATTAGGAAATCAAGATTGTGGGGCATAATTTAGGGGTTTTGAAATCCACATGGAAAAGCCAATGTAGAGTCTCAAGTGTATCTCAAAATGATGTTATAATCCACAAAGCCAGTTGAAAATGATTATCTAGCTCATAGACACACACAAAACTTCTCATTTGTCCTTCTTAATGACTGTAAGAACAAGCCCATGTTACCCTTGGGCCAGGAAAATGGTCCTGATTCTCAGAGCAAAACGATATTGTCAACCTCTTTGGCACAGCTCTAAAGGGCACTCCCATTATCTTCTTAGTCTTCCAGACAGGGTCTTTTTTTCTCCCACCACCTCCTTAATTAAAGCAACTCTAAGATTCCAAACTGTGCTTCCCAGTAAGCATGGTTTAAAGGATTCTGATGCCAAATATGTGAAACTATGGCCAACTAATACCCAGCAGCTCATTCCCTTGCCTTCATTTCCCCCAGAAGTCTTTCCTGCATAGGAAGTATTAACAGACATATTTTTGATGAAACATTGTATAAAGACATCCTTTTATCTTATTTAATTTTAATGTTGAAGCCTACCCATCTTCAGAGGTAAATTGTAATATGAGTAAAAAATCTAAAAGATTAGAGATATTTTTACTAATTCAAATATAATTTAGCCCACACAGATTATTTATCCCTTTCTAAATGAGTATTTATGGGTGGGGAGGTAACTCATCTTTTCATCCTTCATAAATATTCATTTAAGTATTTCAGGTTCAAGCATAGCATAGCTATGACAAATCAAGTCCTAATATTACTATACATGGGAATTAAGCTTTATAACTTTTAACAAGATTCATACTTTCAAAATGTTTGTCCTATTCTGTTAAGATAAAGACAAAGTGGAGAGAATCGCAGAAAATTCAAATAGTGAGAAAGAATGAAACTTCTTAAGTGTTTATGATTGTGCTTGGGTGTCTAAGGCAGAGAATTTGTACGAGGAAACAGTAAGATATAATATTGGAAAGAGGACTTACAGCCAAATTGTGAAGTCATTGATTCAGAAAGACCCAAAAAGGTCATTTACTTACACCTTTTCTCTGATGCACAAACCTCCTCTCCAGCATCACTAAGAAGCAATCATCCAGTCTGTTGTATATCTCCCATGTCATCCAACACATGACTTCAAAGACAATCTATTTCATTGTTTGACAGCTCTAATAAGTAAAACTTACTTCTATTAGAACTGTAACTCCCACTATTACTCTTAGTTTTGGCTCTAGAATGCCAAATAATTTTTTGTCAATTATTTTGAATGTTAAAAATCTTAATGATTTTTAACACTGTAATACACTTCTGTGTGATTTATGTTAATTTCCATATGGTATAACAATTTGAATTCATTTTGCTCATTAT